CAAAATACCAAATCAATCACAATTCCCAACCAATCACACCTACAAAATAACACAAATCATGCCTAAGAACTACACAACACCAATTGCCTAAGAACCACAAAATATAAATACCCAACCAATTACGCCTCAGAAACACAAAATAACACAAATACCCAACCAATCACACCTAAAAACCACAAAATAACACAAATACCCAACTAATCACGCCTAAAAACCACAAAATAACACAAATACCCAACCAATCACGCCTAAGAACCACAAAATAACACAAATACCCAACCAATCACGCCTAAGAACCACAAAATAACACAAATACCCAACCAATCACGCCTAAGAACCACAAAATAACACAAATACCCAACCAATCACGCCTAAGAACCACAAAATAACACAAATACCCAACTAATCACGACTCAGAACCACACTACAACATCACAACATCAACAAAATCACAACTTACGACCTCACCACGAACCAACCTCACAACACAACATCAAAATAAACAGAACATCCCGGTAACCAACCCTCCATCACTGGGCAAGTAATAAAATTTCTTGAAGAACTCGGTGGCTGAACGGGAAGTGACTCACCCCAACACCTCAGAACCCTGTGTTCGTGAGACGCTCTTGGTCTTAGGCAATGGTACTTGGACTTTCATTATGAGTAATAAATAGGATTTTTTGTGTGTGTGTTTTTGTTCGTTTTGTTATTTGAATACTGTGATTTAACCCTTTGAGTGCTGTGATTTAACCCTTTGAGTGCTGTGATTTAACCCTTTGAGTGCTGTGATTTAACCCTTTGAGTGCTGTGATTTAACCCTTTGATTACTGTGATTTAAACCCTTTGAGTACTGTGATTTAACCCTTTGAGTACTGTGATTTAACCCTTTGAGTATTGTGATTTAAACCCTTTGAATACTGTGATTTAACCCTTTGAGTACTGTGATTTAACCCTTTGAGTACTGTGATTTAACCCTTTGAGTACTGTGATTTAACCCTTTGAGTACTGTGATTTAACTGAGTACTACAGCTTCTCATTACAGAGGCTTTTAATCACCCACTGATAACTGTCCAGTGAAGATAGTCAATTTACAACACCTATTTACAACAATTTACAACACCCAATTTTCACCTTCAATTTACATCACCACTTAATTACTGAACCAGGAAACGACTCCACCTTGACCCAAATCAACAGAAACCACCTCACACGTTCATAACCTAATTACTTAACAACCATAACACCTTCCCACTATCCTCTCTGGGTCAGGAGGCCCCCCCTATAGAGGAAGAAAAGGGGGAGGTGAGGAATTTACATATGTGTAGGGGGGTGGGGGTTTTTATGTTGATGTTAGCAGAGTTTATAGGGATGTCCTGTGTGTGTGTGTGTGTGTGTGTGTGTGTGTGTGTGTGTGTGTGTGTGTGTGTGTGTGTGTGTGTGTGTGTGTGTGTGTTATTATTATTGTTGTTACTTTATTATTATTATTGTTATTATTATCACCATCACCACCATCATCACCACCACCATCATCATCACCACCATCATTACCACCACCATCATTACCATCATCACACACACAGGGAGGCAGGTCAATATAGGAGTGTCACCTTACCAAACCTTCAGGTCTTGAATTACTCACTTGAGGGAACTTGACTTAATTTGCCTCAAGGGATCATTTATGTGAGGCGGTTGAGTGGTGGTGGCGCCATGGTGTGTCGCCCTGCCTCGCTGTTAACATATATAAATACATACATACATACACTCATACACACACATATACAAACAGTCATACGAACATTTATACATAGATACACACACACACACACACACGAACTCTTATAAACACACACACACATACACGCACACACTACCGCCCAAGATGACAGCATAAAGAAACTCGTCATTCTGTCAAAAGTGGATGATCGTTTTACTTGATTATTAATGACAACCATGTGTGTGTGTGTGTGTGTGTGTGTGTGTGTGTGTGTGTGTGTGTGTCCCTGATCCCTCACTCTCCTCACTTGTCTTGTATCGGTCTCCTCTCTCATTCCTCTCTTTATTCATGTTTCTCTTCCCCTCTATTCACTCCATGCGAACCTGACAGGAGAAAGAGAGAGAGAGAGAGAGAGAGAGAGAGAGAGAGAGAGAGAGAGAGAGAGAGAGAGATCTTCATTGTATCTTTCTAACTTGTATTCAAATATCTAGTTAAGGTCGAGTCTCAGAGCAACGTTTACGCCATCTGTGTGTACGTTAGGGACACACACACGCACACACACACAGGAAGCAGGACCTATATAACTGCGTCTTGTCGGTTCATGGTCACTCCAGCGTACAGGTTTGTGACGTCATTACTGCTTCTTCATTGGTAGCTGGTATTATGACGTCATATACACGCACGTTGGTTACATTTCTCACAGCCTGGCGTAGCGATGACGTCAGGGATTCTTGTGCGCTCATAGGCTAGTATCTGGATTTCTTCCGATGACGTGTTTTTCTCTTACTGGCAGGTGGCACGGTGAGACGCTCTGATGATTGGTCTACGAGTTAATGACGTCATATTGAAGTGGTCCCTTGCTGGCTAGTGACTATGAGACGCTGTGATGATTGGCCTGAGGTAGTGACGTCACACACATGCCTGGCGAGTCGAAAGATGTGTTGATGTTAAGAGAAAGAGATAGAGATGTGGGAAGTCCGGCCTGGCCTCGCAGCACGTGTCGACAAGAGATAAGTGTTTTGTGTACATCTCTCGTGGCTACTTACGTCAAGTGGGATATCTACTTAGAACACTTTAGAGCGTTGTTTAAGTGCAGGGTGTGTCGGTCCCCTGTGCATATAAGGTGCCGAAGGGATGAATTTATTGTGACCCGGAGATAGATTTTGTTGACCTGGGATGAAGTTGTGTAGTTGGTGAATACAGCTCTCTGATTGGTTTGTTTTATGACGATTTTAAATGACGTCACGTATGGAAAGGGGAAGTACAGCATGAAAGCTTTGGTCTTGGCGGGAGGTGTAATGCATCTCAGAAAAAGTTCAGACCTGACCTTACATTAGCGAGGTCAAATGTAAGGGGACCCCTCACCGCCACCCAGTCAGCATTAGTGATCATCTATCGGCTCGTCTCCCAATATATAGGACGTCTTAGTCCTCCCAGAGAGACAGAGTCAGGGAGACACACACAGAGGGATCACAGGAGGAGTCCCGCTCCTGACCGGAGGCAAGCCCTCCTCCGGTGAGCGGGACTTCCCTCCCGACACCAGTGTCCCAGCTAAGCCGTCCTATATATTGGGAGACGAGCCGGTAGATGATCCGCTAGGTGGACAGCCCACCTGCTATCTACCCCTCCCACTTTTCTTCCCGTTTCTATGCTTTACTTCACTCTCTCCTCTCCTTTCCCAGTGCAAAGTCATTTGCCACTTTACTTCATTATCATCATCATCAGATGATCACTAATGCTGACTGGGTGGCGGTGAGGGGTCCCCTTACATTTGACCTCGCTAATGTAAGGTCAGGTCCGGACTTTTTCTGAGATTTAAGGCGCTGTAAACGCTTCTGCGCTTCACCTTGCACAGGATGTAAGGGGGTGCCAATAAACTAGCCCCCTCTTGGGCAATCTGTGAAAAAAAAAAATCTGTGGTCTGACAAATAAACCATCATTACAATTATTATTGTTGTTGTTGTTGTAATTATTATTATTATTATTATTATTATTATTATTATTATTATTATTATTATTATTATTATTACACATTGTTACAGAGCCAAGTGAGGTTAAGACAGTGACCAACTCTCAGCCCACCAAATTGGGTTGCTAAGAGGAATGCCGGGAGGAGCTGTCATGAGGCAAACCTAACAAGGCACAAGGCACATACACTCATAGGACCTAAGGGTGTTTATACTATGTCAAGGTAAGTAGTATAACCTTGTCTTGCCCCTTGACACATGAGGTAGCAACAGCAGAGAGATGTTAGGTGAGGTTAAGTTTGGTTTAGTTATATTAGGTTGGGTTAGGTTAGGTTTCCTAACATAAATAAGTAATATATAAATACAAATGAATTCTATACTCTATCCACTGTACACACGTTATATCAACATGGCCTGGCACTGCACTAGACAGCTTTACTTCCCCAACTGCATAATTAGTTACCGTAAAATAGAAACCTCATAAACCTCTAAAACAAACTTGATAGGAGAAAGAGAAGAGGAAGACATGAGAGAGAGAGAGAGAGAGAGAGAGAGAGAGAGAGAGAGAGGATATACTAGGTTAGGTCAGGTCAAGCTACGTTAGGTTAGCATCTGGGTGGTTAATCTTAGAACATAAGAAAATAAGGAGTCTGCACTAGGCCTGTTGGCCTGTGCATGGCAGCTCCTGTCGAGAGTTACTACCACTCTCTATCATCCATGAATCTATCCAGCCTCCTTTTGAAACTTTCCAGCGTTCCAGCACTTACTACAAAGTTGCTAAGCTTGTTCCACTCGTCCACCACCCTATTTGTGAACCAGTTCCTTCCTATCTCCTTCCTAAACCTAAACTTATCCAACTTAAATCCGTTGCTCCGAGTCCTATCCTGCTCGGATATTATAAGAACTTTATCTATATCCCCTTTATTGATTCCTTTCACCCACTTAAATACTTCTATCATATCTCCTCGCACTCTTCGGCTTTCTAGGGAATGCAAGTTTAGTTTCTTTAACCTATCTTGATATGGAAGGTTTCTAAGTCCCGGAATCATTTTCGTCATTCTTCGCTGCACCGACTCCAGTGAATTGATATCCATTCTATAATAAGGGTACCAGAACTGAACCGCATTATCGAGGTGCGGCAAAGCAAGGTAAAGCAAACTGTGGTGGAGATTCTTCTGTAACAAAAAACACTTCATCAGTCACGCACCTTCCCTGAAACACACCGAACCTCACACCACAAATTCTTGGAATCTGAAACACGATCCACTTCCTTGACTCTGTAGCCAATACTTCATGCAGTTGTGGACGAAATTACCTGGGCCACGATTCGATCGCGGAGTAATTAGTGGTCGTAATGAGACTTGGAAGATTTCAATGACATTTTTCAATGCTAATTACTCATCATCTATGGGTTTATAAGGTGTTGTTTCTTTAGGTGTTTTTGTGTTATTCTGGAAATACTGAACGTATGTTTTTTTATGTACCAATGGGGCCCCTGGTAATCCCATGGGGCCACTGGCCTTATTAGGGTCCCTGGGGGCCCCATGATACTCCTGCAGGACCCTGGTAAGCCTTTGGGGCCCCCTGGTAGTCTCATGCAGCCCCTGGGCCTGCTAAGCCTCTGGGGCCCACTAGTATGTACATGGGACCCTTGAGGGACACCAAATAGTCCCATGAGACCTCTGGTAGTCCCATGGGGCCCCTGGGCGACCTCTGGTAGCCCCATGGAGCCCCTGTGGGATCGTTGGTGGTAACATTCTGATATGTTGTTATTACCACCATGCTATGTGCACTGTTCCAGATGATACTAAATGTTACATCATACTTCCCTGAGATAAGTGTATAGTATATATCAGGTGCTTTCAAGAGAGCTCAGCCATGTTAACATTATGATTTTTATCGACTCTGTATCTGTGTTCTTCTGGCTAAATAAACTGTTTCAATATCAATATCCCATTGGGCCCTTGGACCTGGAGCCACTGGGAGATGTTTGGTAGTTCCATGGGCCCCATCGAGAACCTCTGGTACTCCCATGGGGCCCCTGGCCCTGGTGGGCCCTCTGGATGTCCCATGGGGCCCATGGGGGATAACAGAGAATTAGTTTACTTTACACTAAATTGTTTTTGTTGAAAAGAATTTTGATATAAAGTTTGTAAAGAAAGTTATATGATTTAGATAAATTTGACCGACTTTGAGTATATCCATTTTATTTGCTTTAAAATAATTATTACTTTGGATTTTGTATATAGATAAAAAGTATAAACAAATAGTTTATACAAATAAATATTTTAGAGCAGTGTTTGTGGTAATCATAACAACATCAACGTCCAGCTGTTCACCACAACAACACATCAGCTGAGAGCACTGGTGACATTTCACGTTATTTTTTATCAATTTTCGAGACCATTTGGAGTATAATTGTGTGTAAGTGTTATGTGACCATGAAGGAGGTGGGACCCCTGTGTGATGCTGGTGAGAAGGAATTTCATAGTTGGTGAATAATGTGGCTATTATTTTGACTACCTTTTGACTTAATTTGTTTATTAATCTAAAAGTCATTATTTAGGCGTGATCATCTCACTTAATCTCAAATATAGTCTTGCCTTGTTGGTTTATGTTAGGATAGAGGTTTACACACCGGAGGGGGCCGGTTAGGTTATAATAATATTTATATATACAGTATTTGTAAACTATTTTATATCTATGAAGACATTATCTCACAGTGTGGAGCCGCCTTGCCAGCCCGGCCCGGGTGGTTATGAGGCTACAGTGTACTGTGTCTGTCATTAATCTCGTTCATACATCTGGTTGGACGCGTGTAGAGATGCGTGGACAGTGTTTATAAGGCATCTTTACTTGGTAGTCAAAGCGGTAACTTAAAAAAAATAATATTGCAATGTTGGTCGTGGGTGAAGGTGTTCGGACAGGTATGACTTCGTTGTCAAACAATAACAATAATATTGCAGGTATAAAACTATACTATTAAATAAAAAAATGTATTTTCTCACGATTATATTTTTGTCTTTATAGATATAAAATACTGTACATGTAAATGATCCAGGTTGTGGATGAAGAATATGTTTGAGTTGCTGCGAGGGTTGGAACAGGGAACCAAAATGGCGGACGTGTGAGGTGGCTGCTACGACTTGACAGTCCAGGAAATAACCTCCTGAGCCGTCGGTAAGACATTTATTAATATTATTATTGTCATATAAATAACGTTAATAATACCGAGTAGTTGTTGGTATATTATTAACCTGAGCTAAAGTGTAATTAATGGTTAATTTAGTCTATTGTGTTGGGTCGCCAGGCACAGGTATCTTTTATATCAAAACTTAATGATAAGCTGCAGCCATATTTCACATTATAAGGTAGAGATTCATTTATTTCAGTTGTCCATCACATTATAAGGTAGAGTTTCATTTATTTCAGTTGTCCATCACATTATAAGGTAGAGTTTCATTTATTTCAGTTGTCCATCACATTATAAGGTAGAGTTTCATTTATTTCAGTTGTCCATCACATTATAAGGTAGAGTTTCATTTATTTCAGTTGTCCATCACATTATAAGGTAGAGATTCATTTATTTCAGTTGTCCATCACATTATAAGGTAGAGTTTCATTTATTTCAGTTGTCCATCACATTATAAGGTAGAGATTCATTTATTTCAGTTGTCCATCACATTATAAGGTAGAGTTTAATTGGTAAATTATTGCTTTCAGACAACAGGGGATCTTAGGAGTTTATCTTTGCGGTCAATAGTTAGACAAGCCTAAGACGTCATAATTTTATAAGACGTTTGTGAGGGAAACGTCGTAGAAGAGAAGCGTCTTAGGTTTGTCTAAATTATTGATTGGAAAAATAAAATTCCTAAGAATCCCCTGTTTTTCAATGCCGCCCTTACCGTGTTGTGTTCAGTACCATATCACAAGTTATCTATTGCTTGTGTAGGAAAAGTTGGCAAGACAGTGAAGAAGAAATACTGTACACTGTGTTTCACTGCAACAACCAATCGTACTCTCATGTGCCACTTCAAGATAGTTGCTTTCATGGTAGCAGATGTCAAGTTAATTCTTTCTCTGCCCCAGCTAGGAAGTTAGGTAAGGTTGGTTAGGTTAGGTTCTATACATTGTTGTATCATACTTATCATCCAAAGAACATCTGTGGAAACAATGAACTAACTCAAACAACTCCTTCTGGTGTTAGTTGTCTGCCAACATCTATGGTACACTAGCAACAACAGTGATTTCTTCCAAAGTGGACACTGACTGGGCAGGGTTTGAAGATGAGGGAAAATGTGGGGTTAAAACACCAACAAACCTTACTTAACCGAGCAGTCATAATACAGTCCGGGGAAATTAGGAAAAAAGCTGAACTAATTCATAATGAAATGATACTTGGTAGAAATAGTGAGAATACGTTTATAAACAACATGCCAAACATCCCGAGGTGAGCATTTGTTGCCATCCTGAAGAAAATGGCGGCCAGTTGCAGTTTTTAATGTTTTACTCATTGACCGTTCATTTTGAGAGATGACACTTTATAACAAAATAAAAGAGCATAAAATTCTGCACCTTTTGGTATATTCAGCTATTGTTTCCAATTAAGACTCCAAGAAAATACAAATGTTCACTACTGGCCACACCCCTCGCTATATTTACTTCGTCTGGTACTGTTTTTCACTCCACCCATGAGGTACAGTATGTGGCACATTTTATTAGTGAAGTATCCCCTGTTGGTTTATCCCAGGATTAGTGTTTTATGGCAGTTTCATTCTCTTTGCAACTTGTTCAGTACTGGTATAGCTACACATGACATTTGTGAGACAAATTCAGTGCCGTTGTGATAATTAAGGTCAGTATCAAATGTGCCTTCATTCTCAGGAGTATCACAGAATGTTCCACAACCAAACTGTGACGGGTCTCATCATTGTCACTGTCAGTATCAAGAATAGAGATCATCATCTATGTCATGTTCATCAAGATCATCGTCTTGGAAAGTCATGTTGTAGGACATACTGTTGGTACATGCTGTTCCTTGACAGTAACTGCATATATCTGAGACATCTTATGCCATCAGTTGTTCTATATCCCTACTCTCTTTCCCTTGTATGATGACATCTTTCAGAAATGTTTGAAGGGACAGAGGGATCACTTTTCTTACATCATTCAGAAGGTCTGCTGGGGGTGGCACTTATCGTTGTTTATCTTCCTTCATAATGGCTGCTGCTCTCAGACGTCCTTCATTTTCATTTCTTTCCTTTGAAGCGTAACAGGAATCAGATAAACCTGTGTCACTAAAACAGACTGCAGTAAGTTCATATGTAACATCAGAAATAATTCTATTGTCACCATAGTTCTCTATTAATTTCTTCTTTAATGTCACTTCTGCCGGCATATATTCGTCCATTAACTGCATTAATTCCCGTAATGAAAATTGGCAGCCATTGCTGTCCCCAATGAAAGAACACACTCAGGCAAATGCTGATGCAAGGTCTTTCATCGGTGGTCGACCTCTTCTCATTTGCTGGCACGCTTTACATAAAGGATGACACATAGTTTTCATGATACACAGCTTCTTCAGCTACGAAGCAAGATACACCACATATTCCACTGCTTACTTCTTTGCCCCAAGAATCACCCCGTTCATTCGCTTTCTTTAGAACCTTTTCTTTGAAGCCTAAAGTCCAAACACTCCAAATTTTCTGTTGCCTATGTACAGGTTTCTTCTTTTCTGAGTTTCTGTTACATACTTCTGAACAAAAAAGACACCATCTCCTGAAATCAAATGCAGTAATTGCAGATCTCAATTTTCCTTTAAGTGGAGAAGCTGTCAAACTCTGTAGTGCCTTCCTATCGCTTCTGTACTACTGCATTAATTGTATCTTCCCTTGTGTATTCCTTCCTACAGTTTTCATGTACTCTTACTGTTTGCCTGTCTTTCCAGAGTCCATTTCCCATCTTCTAACATTTCACTGGTTCTAGTTATTGTAGGAAGACCTCTCTTGACAGAGACTACGCAGCCTATGGAGAGGCTTTCATCACATAAGGACAGTTCTACCATTTTCAGTACTGTATATTTCAAGTTGTCTATATGTTTCACTTTGTATATGTAATATTTCATTTTGTAATTGCCTTTATATATCATTTAAGTGAGGTTGTTCATTTCACATTAGTACCTGAAAAATAGAAAAGCCAAACAGACATTATATTCTTGTTTTTTTCCAACTGTAACATTAAACAGTGTCAATTAGAGGTGGGTCGTAGCTATTGTGGAAACAAAATGTTTATTTTCTCGGGAACTCTTAATCGTACATAAAAGCTGAATATACCAAAATGTGCAGAATTTTACGCTGTTATTTTGTTATTAAGTGTTATCTCCCTAAGATCAACAGTTAATGGGTAAAACTTGAAAACCACAAACGTTTCCATTTTTTCAAGATGGCGGCAAAAGCTCACCTCGGATCAGCCAGGATGTTTAGTACGTTGCTTAGGAACATATTCTGACTACTTCTACCAAGTATCATTTCATTATGAATTATTACAACATTTGGCATAAAAATTGTCTAATTTCCCTGGACTAATACTACTATAACAAGCTGGTGCTGCTATAGTGTGCAGTCTACAACGATATATCTAGTCTAACCTAATCTAACATAACCTAACTTAACCTAAACATCTTGTAGACCGCACTCTATAGTAGCTCCAAAAGGCTTACCTTACTTTACCGATGTCAAAGGAAAATGTGATTTATTTTTTTTTATTTTTGATGTTTTTGTCAGTGACTCGATTCTTATTTTCAGCATTTAGGTCACAAGGAAGCTTGAATACATCTATATAAAATGCTTGCACTGGAGATGTACAGTCACCCAAAAAAGTCCTGTCGCGAACCATGAACCCCAAGATTCAGACTCTTGCATCCGAAGCACTTATGGACAGAATAATGTATCAGTGTCTACTGCTTCGGGTTCACGAGTCTGAATCGTGGTTCGCGACAGGACTTTTTTGGGTGACTGTACCGATACCAAGATTTTTGCACCAACATTCAAGAATTTTTGGCTCAATATTTATGGTAAAAATTTAATTTTGCTGTGTACAAAGCACAAAGACACTTGGTTTATGTGTCATATGAACAGTTTTTCATTGTGTCAAATAACTGGTGGTTATTCTGCCAGATATTGGTCAAATAACTGGTGGTTATTCAGCCAGATATTGGTCAAATAACCAGTGGTTATTCAGCCAGATATTGGTCAAATAACCAGTGGTTATTCTGCCAGATATTGGTCAAATAACTGGTGGTTATTCAGCCAGATATTGGTCAAATAACCAGTGGTTATTCAGCCAGATATTGGTCAAATAAGCTCAGTCTACAATATGATAAGTGTTGTGTATTATATAGTTATTGGTTATATTTCCAGGAAGCTACAATGACCAACAACACTGCTGATGTATATGATGCCACTGATGAAACACTGCTGACCTGAGGGACAGACTCATATATGATGCCACTGATGAAGCACTGCTGACATGTTGGAGGTGAGACTTACTTACTGTTAGTTCACATCATGTTGTTCTTATTAGGTGTACAGCTGAGTCTACTGCAGGTTGGGTTTCTCTTATCTGAAATTACCAAATCCGAAATGCTCTGAAATCTGAGTCTTATTTCATTATTTTTATGATAGATAATTCTGTACACTAAATATGGTATACAGTACATGTATATACTCGTGCATAGTTTGAGTTTTTAAGATCAAATTTTTACGTAATAGTTTCGTCAGGTTGAGTCCGTGCATGATGGGAAGGGCGAGGAGCAACTTTTAGCCTTAGACGTGAAAAGTATTTACCATTTACTGCCAGTAAACAATGGAAATGTAAAATATGTACCAATTAGTAATGAACAGCTGTGCAGTGCCTTCAGCAGATGAAGCTCACCAACTTACAATATATATCCATATGCTATAAATGAAATATAAATGAATTTTGTGCATAGACTTGGGCCCCATCCCTGTTGGGTGAGCTACCCCCATTATACAGGTTCTGTATACAGGTGTTTCAAAAAATATCCCAAATCCGAGACCCCTAAAGCCCCAAGCATTTAGGATAAAGGATACCCAACCTGTACTTGTGTTTACATGCAGTTGTGTACAGTACTGTACTACAGTATTTAAAACATCAAATACACTCTACCCATTAGTTTTAATTCACATTTAAATACAGTACATTATTTCAAGAATATGGAGCAGCTTTATTATTTAAGTGTATTACCCTTATCTTGTGTTTGGGCACATGAGGTCATGATGTAGATTTGGTTCAAATTAATCAGAGGCACTGTACTGTACTGTACTGTACTGTACTGTACTGTACTGTACTGTACTGTACTGTACTGTACTGTACTGTTTTAAATACTGATTATGGATCTGGATTTGGAATGCAAAAATATCACAAATTAGCATTAATTATGACCCTTGAATTAATTAAACAAATTTACAGTAGTGTATTTATCTAAAAGTGGACATTTATGTAAATGTGTTTGTGTGCATTTATATTTATTTAAGAAAGTTTGTTTGTATGGTACATGTATTTGTTTAAATGTGTGTGTGTGTGTTTTGTATAAATGTTTGACTGTTTTAGTGTAAAGGTGTTTGTGTTGTCATGTAAAACCATACAAGCAGTTGTGTAACACAAGGTGTGACACAACAAATCTGAAGATTAGTTATTGCTGAAACTTGTCTCAAAATTACTAAATTTGGATGATAAATAAATAATTACTTTATTTGCCTTAATGGCCACCCACTAGAGGTGGTCAGGGTGAGGAAAGGAGGCCAGTGGTCTATGTAGGATCCTTCCATTGTTCTTGATAGTCTTGTCTTGGGCTATTTTTTTTGTATGATAAGTTGCCAAGCGTAGTCATGTCCCATTATTTTGGTGGTGCGTGACATGGCCCAGGTTCATGTTTTCCATCTTTTCAAGAGTTTGAATGTCTATGAGTTGTGCCTTGTTGTGTCTTGTCAGAAGGGTTGTTAACCCCAAGGCCCTCAATTTATTTGGAAAATCAAGATGACATAAATCAAGAATCATCTTAGTCACTGTGTTGAACCTTTCTAAGGATGTTAGGGTTTTCTGGAGGGAGGGTTTCCATGCCTGTACAGTGTACAGTAATCCAGACTGGGACGTATGTGATATTTGTACAATTGAAGGATCATTGTCATATCTTTGTGTTTGAAGGTATGCTTTATAATTCCCAATTCTTGGTTGGCTTTTGTCCTGTTGCCCCCACTTAGAGCACTGCTTTCAGTGATTGATCTTTCACAATACCAAGATCTTTCACTTTATTGAAAGTATCCAGGAAAGTGTTATTAACAGAATAGTGGGGATTTGGGTTGTTGTATCCTACACAGAGTCTTACATTTTGCATTGTTAAAAATCTTTACCAGACTCAAGACCAATTGAGCAGCTTTTGAAGATCTTTTTGCATGGCTGCAAATCGTCATGACTGTCACCTTCCCAAATATTTCTGTCATCTGCAAACTTGACAGTATGGCTCTATATATTTTCATCTATATCATTTATGTACAGTAAAACCTCTCTAAGGCAGACTAATTGAGGAAGGGATAAGAGGTTGTCCTCCTTAAGAGTCAATTTTTCCCAAAAGACGCCATTTTAAACAAAAAACAGTACGACACCAACGTCTCCAATTTTCATGAAGGAAATACTGTACATACATGTTTTCTAATCAAAATTAATTTTAAAAAGTAATGTACACAAAGTACTGTACACTTACTTTTAGTTCACTGATACGGCCATCGGCTTAACCTCACCGCCCTTATGGGTACTAAACACTTTCTTAGAGGCTGTGTTTATTGTTTCATTTTTCAATAATACAGTAATGCAAAAAATATGACCGGTGCTTCAGTCTACGGTGATTATGTATAAAAACTTTAATGATATAAAAAATACAGTACTGTATTTTCGGAAATAAATTTTGTATATTCGTCCTGTAACCATAGTTTTCTTATATATACTGTACCAGGAAATGTGGGGAATAATACCAACAAAACTTACTGTATTGTATTGTCAAAAAAAGTAAATAAAAACCAAATGAATGTTTAAAACACAGCCTCCATTTGCATACACTCCCTGTTTCACCATAGTAACGAAGATGAGCTGGGACGCTGATTCCCTAGCAACGCGTCCCCCAACACACACATACACACTGAGTATTTTCCCCTCACTCAGCTAACTCGTATAGAAAGAACTGTCAATTCCATTTATGTGTTTGCCCTTAGGACAATTATTTCTTTTACTTTTTTCACATTATGTATGTAGGATGGTGTGTGCGTGTAGTAGAGTAAAAATAAATGAGGAAAGTTACTTATATCTACCCAAAAATACAAGTTGAAAAACAACCATGTAACACCTCACAGCTTGGCCCAGTAGCCTGGTGGTTACAGTGATGAGTCTAACCTGGCTACAATGCCATGTTACAGACGACACTAACTAGTCACTCGCTCGCTCCCTGGCTCCCGTTGCCAGGCTTATTATTGAAATACAGTACGTATAGGAGAAATACATACAGTATCTTGTAGTATAATTTGAAAACAGTGATGGGCACAGTGATAAACAAATTATATAAACCATATATTTACCGATGATAACATAATAAGAAACATTATATCATTACTAAAGTGATTGAAATAATATTCCCCAAAACAACAGTTGATAACTCTTAGGCACCTATGTCCATCTTGTTGATGTCTTGTTTATTTTAATTTTTTAAATCTTTTGGGGCAAATAATTTTGTCCAGCTTAAGCGATATCCACCTCAGTTGGGTCCACCTTAACGAGGTTTTACTGTATATCTCAAACAGGATGGATTCAAGGGTAGATCCTTGTGCTACACCACTGAGAACCTTCTTCCATTCTGATTGTACACCATTTATGATCACCCTTTGTGTCCTGTGTTTGAATCAGTTGTTAATCCACTTCAAAATTTTGTTTGTGATGCCATGTGGTTGGATTTTAGAGACTACCTGTGAATGTGGGACTTTGTCAAGTGCCCTAGAAAAATCCACATACACTAGCGGTCAAAAGTTTGCTCTATCCCAAATGAGATAAAGTAGCACACCCACATCAGACGATAGTCAGGGTAAGTCAGTTCAGAGACTCTGTTTCACCATGGGAGCAAAATTATGACCTCAACTGTACAACACGTCCACTGGTAAGCCTTGATCCATGTAGTCTGTTACCATTTCAAGGAAAATGAGTAAATGTGTTAAACAGGATATTCTCTCCATGAAATTGTGTGATGCATTGATCAGT